TTTCGTCACGGCCACGCGGCACGCATTCTATTTTTTTCCTCTATTAAACGTAAACGATATTCCGCATGATGTGACGTAATTCGACATGTCAATCAAATTATGCAACTGTTACGCTGTGCTTTCATTACGTTAGTTCACAAATTTGGAATAATTTTTCACGTAAGGAAAGAAAACTTTTGCAATCTGCTTTAGTTCAAATCTGCTGCCAAAATTTCCATTCCATTGAATTTTTCAGATATGTATTGTAATATATCTAATATATATAATATGTCAATTTTTATGATACAACATTTCTTTACAAATAATAATTTGAGTGCAACAAATGTTGAGAAAAAGGCAAACATTTCCATAAGATAATAATTAAGAAACGTCATTTAGGATATTAAAACGGAAATATTCTAGATGATTACTGTTGGACTCTGATAAAACCGATCGAAAGTCATATAAAAAACAACAATTAAACATTCAATATTTCAAATAAGATTTCACTATATGTTCTAAAAATATCTTTTCTTTTATCTTAAAAACCGGACCTAATAGAAATATTTCGATAGCAAATTTGGGCTCAGCATTGAAAATTATCTCACTAAAAAAAAAAAAAAAATATTCTGCCGATAAGCGGGGAATTACTCTTAACATTTCCTCTAAGCAAAAAATCTTGCATGAATCAGGCACGTATATTTATAACACGTATTCATCTATAAAAATGAGGATACGTGAGCTATGATCAAAAAATAAGCTATGATAAATTCCTCTATAAAAAAAATTCTATTATAATAACTCGAATAGTCTTTTGAAATAAGAGGATATACAAGATACTAGCGACACGCTTATTTGTTAGAAAAAGTTTACGTGCTACCGTAGTACGCGTACATATCAGTACATACAAGACATTCTTCTAACATTGAGAGAATCGCAATCTAAATCCAGCATTTTATGGTTATACGAAATTCCTTACTTTATTAGAGTATCTATCTTCTTGAGTATATAAATGGAAAACCATCTGATAACACAGAACCGCTAAATGGCAGAATATTTTTTGGGGGGTTAAAAAGTGTTTATATTTTTCTAGCTCTTGCACTAAACTTTGTAAAATAGTGTAATAATTCACCATAATGTATCAACAAATTCAATTATTCGAATCTCCTATTTCCTACTTTAAACGCATTCCGCAGTAATTCGAAATGTTACGAAAAAGATGATTTTGCTGAAGTATTCAAAAATTTAGTTAGATATAGATCTAAAAATAATTTAAATGGACTATCAAAATAGGAATCTCAAGCATGAAAAATAATGCTGCAAAAAGTTTGGACATTCTAATTAATCAGTTTGAGCGTACATAATTATTTTGATAGTCCAACAAAATTATTTTCAGATCTATATCTAGCTAAATTTTTAGATGTTTCAGCAAAATCATTCTTTTCGTCCATATCTGTTGCCTCAGGCTTTGAAATTAGAATTTTTCTATAACATTCTATTGTTTATTTACATTCTTCTGCACCTTAATTCATGCAGCTTAATTCGTGAATTTTCAATCATTTATAATTCAATGCATTGCAACATTTGTATTTAAGATTATTTTAGCGCACATCTAGCGTTATAATAAGAGTTCAATATTTACAAATTATTTATAATTCTGAATATTTATAATTCAGTTATGTCTTGCACAGCCATGCATTAAAAAAATTGTCTACCTTCGATTGATCCTGCTGTTGTACAAGACGTTCCCTAAGCAACTGCAGCTGCAGGATCATCTCCGATAGTCGGCGCTCCTTCTCGGCGAAGCTGTCGGCGCAAAGGATCCTGTGAAGGGCCGCCACGCCGTCCTGATCTACTTGCGCCTCCGTGTTTGATATCCTTCCAGAATCCGGAGGTGAGAGTGCCACGTTATTTGCCACGGTGGTAGTCGTGCTTCCACTGCAACTGCAACGCATACGATTCAAACCCAAATCAGTTTCGTTCAATCAAATAAAGAGAGTGAAATAGACGGGAGAGATAGAGGACATTCATTAAACATTTTATTGGGTTGAATTGCTTTAACTCGAAAAGTACAAGTGTAAAACAAAAGTACGACAAATACTTAAGAAAATACATACAAATTTCAAAATAAATAAATCTCCTGTTTAATATGTATATTTTTACATTCATTAATTAAGCAATTAATAATTATCATCAAGAAAGAAATTATACTTAAAAGTACTTTATATATAATAGATGGAAACTGAAATAATTCTTTTCATATACAATAAGAAATAAATACGGATTTTGTTCTCTATGTCGATCATCAACGATAAAAATCATCAATCATTATCGATCATTTTTATCAACATTTCGTTTATATTTCATTTTATCTTTCATTACTAATATTCATTTCTTTATTAACTGACTGTAAATAATAATTATTTGCCTAATTTATTTAATTATTATTAAATAAAATAATTGTTCATTATTAATAACCATTATATTTTTGATATAAAAAGGAGAAAATAATAACTGTCGGTCGAGAATATCCGTCGATGTAAAAATGTTCCTAGACCGCCGAGTGAGAAAGAGGCAGGTAGCCTCCAGCGCATTAGGTTGGAACCAGATGGTAGGTGGTCCAGCGTACGCGACGCTGGAAGCCAGGTGAATAATAAATGAGACGCGGCCGCGCAATCACGACAGGGCAAGTGTTTGCGTCCGTGATGGGGCATCCCGGTGCCATCAGTCCTCCCGTTCCCCGGATCCCCAGCCCTTGATCACCCGCCCAGAACCGACCTCGAGATTCTGCTCTTTTATGTCGAAGAAAATGGTCCGCAAATAAATGATACAGGTCGTATTATGTGTGTGTTTGTGTGTGCGCGCGGCGCTTAGGCGACCGCTGGTCCAACAAAGCGAAATATATGAGCGAAAAGAACGAGGATGATAATGTCGACAATGAGGAAGCTTACGTTGCGAAAAATATAGGCCAGCCGCGTTCTCTTCATGACGTTACAGGGTCAACGATTAAAGTTACATTACAATATACGCGAATGACATGCAGCACAAACGCTTAAGCCGTCCCGACTACGTCAAGTCATGGACGTATGTACTTTTTCCTCATTTACAATACGCAGCCATCATTTATCTGATATTTCCAGATTTACAAAAAAATACTAGCTTGATTATCTTAATTATTCCAGATTAATAATTTCTGACTAATAGCCAGAGCAGCTAAGAAAGCTTCTAATATTACATTTATATTCTTTCCTTGTGATAAAATGCCTATTAATAAGCCTTCTTCGATAAAAGATTAAAACATCGCGTCGCGTATTTTAAAACAAAAAAAATGTGTGGGATATAGAATGAAATTTTTAATAATGTTTTTTTCTCGGTTGTGCTAATTTGTGAAGTAATTATGAGATTACAGTCCGTTTAACTTTATCGTAGAAATTAAACGGACGATGATATGTGAATATTTCCTGAGTGTTTAAGTCTATCTTGTTCAAGTCGGTTCTAGTCAGCGAAAATGCCAATATCCAGTTTCGCGAAAAGCTTTAATTCCACGCAAACTTTCTTTACCGTAATAATGATGATGTGAGTTCGGCGATAGATTTCGTTCATGTTTAACAATTTTAAAAATAAAAAGCCTCTTGTTATTATTACCGCACGCTAAGATATTCGAAGGGCTTAATTTCTGCGCGAGCCAAGATAAATGGTCGCCTCGTCTCTTTTTATTCTCTGCATACACAACTCGCTCTTGTCTAACGGACTTGTCTCGCGTACGCGAGAATGTATGATAAATTGATAGCACGCGGATTGTAGATGAAATCAATAAGAATAAGAAAAGAGGTCTTTTCGCATTTTTTGTCACCGAGACTCTAACATGAAATCTTCATGGGAGACCTCTTCGATTTAGAGCAGCGCTTCATCAAAACTACTAATATCGTAAAATATAACTGTCGATAATTAAATGTCTAAGTTATTAAGCGTCACGATCGATGTCGTTACTAATCCATTATCTTGCAATATATATAAATCATCAAGCTATTTATGTATCTATCAATCTTTTATCTCGGCTTCTCTCTGGCACAAAATAGAAATGTTTCAACTTTACGATAAAATCAGCAAATTTAATAATGTCTGCTTAACTGCTGTATCTCTAAATTCTTATTTGTTAAAAAGAATTACTCTACGTTTTTGTAAATCGAGTCGATTATTTTAATAGCATTACACTGTTTAGCTGACTATCGAGAAAAATTTCTGCCAACGTCGTCGTTTTGCCCTCCGACATTGGAAATATCAGAAGTTTTTATGTATCAAAGTTATCGACGGTCCATAATGCGACGTGGTTACTTCACGGGGGGTTTTTATCCAATACCTACTATATTTAGAATAGCTGAGAGCTAATGTATATGCCCGATATTTTCGTCTACTCTATAAGTCTTCTCGCATCTTCGAATGCTCGTACGTGCTCATAATACGATTCGCGCGCGATACGTCAGTAGTGCATATATGATGCACGAATTCGAGACGCTTTATGTAACAATGTTGTTACAGTTGTTTGTACGTCCTGCCGAATGTCCACGCGTAAATTTGCACGAGTTCAAAGTACCTCCGAGTCGTGTCGATTTCCTCGAAACTCATTGGTATGACACATTGGAATTATCTTCGCAACATTCCAAGTAAACAACGAATTAAATTATTAACGATTAATATCCAGCTTAAGAATAAATTAATGGAACTATACTGAAAACAAATTAATTACACTTGGTATTAAATGTTACACATACATTCCAGCGTGATAAGAAGTTCGTGAGTATTAGCTGTATATTTTTAAATCGAATCCATGCTATTTCGATATACGCTAAGTCAAATTGAACGTGCTCCAAAAAGAAGGTAAACGTCAACGTAAGTGCATGTTGTACTGTTGGCTGAATTTTTGAAGAATCTTGGCCAGCCGTCTGCTCGATGTGGGCAGCAGACTGGCACAGTTCTGTGCTACCACTTCTCCACGCTGCCAAGTTCACTCGTTTACTTTCAATGACTACATGTCAACATAAGACATTGCGTTACACGTCTAGCTTGAGGGAAGACACTTTTTGCAGAGATTTTTGCTATTCTATTGTTGCCTGTTCTTCGTGTAATATTGCCAGATGTTATTTTGCGCGAATCATAACGCAATATACACTTTTTGTGTCAATAATAACAGTCTTGAAAAAAATAACAGTGACTAGGAAATTCATAACAATTTGATCATACCTGAAATGATTTGCTTAAACGTTTCATTAAGTCGGCAATTTCTAATTTCAATATTAATCAACGCGTCACAAGTATGTTGTAGAATAATCTGGAAACGCAAAAGTATAATTTTAACATCATCGTAGAATAGTAACATTATCGTAGCGTTATCGTACCATCTTGTATGACGCACAATCATAATTAGCCACGTGTACACTATTTAGATTCTGTATTCTTGACGTTATATGAACAATTTAGCGAATAAAGAAAAAAAAAAATTATGCAAACAAATTAATTCATTGAAAGACTTGATTATCCAAAGCGGTTATTATCGATGCAAAATAATCGTTTGAAAAATATATGTCAGTTTCCAGATATTGTCTCACGGATTAACCGGAATTGATTAAGGCGCGCTGCGTTCCGATTATTCACTGTCAATGTTGAAAATCTGCACATAATATATGTTATATGCATTATAGATTTTCAGCACTGATAGTGAACGTAAGAACGTAGTCTTTGTGTCATATAATAAATTTAAATATTGTTAGCTATATATAGTTAAAATGAAAAAAAAAAAACTGAACTGTATCTATTAAAAGAGATACTAACATTAAACAACTGATGTAGATTATTGATAAAGAACATATTGTTATATTGAGCAGAGTCTAGTAAATTAATAAAAGCTTTTTATAATTCAAAGAACGATATTAAGACTGTAGATATAAATTATAGCGCTATTAATTCAAAACTCTCAATGTTGATTAATCTTTTAAGAACTCACAGTATCAGAGATCAGATAATATAAGTATTATAAAGATTAATTATTGACAGACCACAAAATATACAATGATTTTCATTAAATTAAGACTATTTCAGAATGTATTAAACAAAAATAGAAAATTAATTTTTAAAATTTTGCATTTGACAATAATTGTTTCGAGTTATGTTCTATTACGGTATGTTATAATGCTTTCTGTTCCAAAATTACTGGTCATTGTCAAATGATTGTACAGCAATAGAGATCCATTCCAAGAGACCGCTAGGTCGGCCTTATGGTTTCGGGACAATAGTCTCTTTTAGGTCTCGCCCGATCGTTAGTTGCATGTTACTATATCCGAGATGCCAGGCCTTGAGAATGTTGAGGCAAGAAACGACACAGTGGTCTTTTCTTTCAGAAAACAAAATTATAGCTGACGCCCTAATTTCCGGCGATAACAACGAATGATGGAGAATGTGAAATATCGCATTGTAAGCTGTGTTCGAAGAATATCGATAAGGTTACGAGCTAAACTTCAAAATTTAAACATTCAATTTCCATAGAAAAAATGTTATACTTTTTTCAAATATGAATGTATATACATATATATATACATATATATATATAATCTACATTTATCCAATTAAAAATATATCGTACAAAGTGTAATATCATATAAAGCAAAACGTACTTGCTATATAACGACTATAAATAGGGGATGAATTGTTGCAAGTGCTTCGAAAATGATAAATTTTCTTGTGACTATACAGTAGTAATAGCATATCAGCTTGTTTGACCAATAAATACAATTTGCAATTGATTTTGTGATTAACTCCTCGTTATAAAATCGAGATTAAATTCAAATAAGTATTTGTATATGCTTCGATTATATGTACAGTCGGCAATTAGTTGCGAAAGCAAAAATTATAGGCACTCGTAATAAAGTTGCAAAAAGCAACATCCGTCTCTGATTTACCATTATATTATATTAATCAGTTATATAAAGTGGGAGAGATATGATAACCTCGGCGACACGGTGGCGCATTATGAGGCAGATATTGCAACAGAGTAGTGCACTGTTACAATGTCGATCGAACACGGCATCGAATAATTAACATACACAAGTTGCATAAGAGCCGCTTATCGAGATACGTCGCATGGATTACACGAATCGTAACGGAGTCTAAATAATCAGCAAAATTGGAAGAAGTTCTCAAACGGCACGCTGTTCTCATTTCCTGTTATTTGCAGGATACTTCCTGACCGCGTTAATAGCAACCGGATCGATATTAAACGGAAGAGAATCAAAATGACAATTGGAAGATCTAGAGCACAGAAAATTTAAAAGTAAAAGCGATTTCTTTCTTTGTTTTTTTAGTTACTTTTCTTATATTTCTTATTACATTACAATTTTAAATAATGATAAACGTAGTATTTTTTTGATAGGCAAATTTGCTAGACACCCCATAGAATAAAAAGAAAACCTATTAACTAACATTTGAATATGTATTTACTTAAAAAGCTATTGAATCTACTGCTTTATTCATTATTTGATAGCCAAACGATAAATCAATAGCTCTCTTTTTATTGTCTCTCGGACAATGTAAAATAGAAAGTAATGAGTCTCATCGTGCTCTAATCCTCTATTTCAATATTCGATCACCTGGACTAACCTATGTGCATTGTGACCGGTTGGCGTGGAAGAGAGCGGAGGTGATGTCCGCCTGGTATTGGTAGTATCGTCCTGGATAGACAGGGATTCGCTATTCATCTTGCACGTTAGTCTTTTAAGAACGTCGTCCATGGACCTTTTACTGCCTGCAGCGGTGGTACCACTACCGTTATTGTTGTTGTTGTTGTTCTGCGTGACGCTGTTGTTGTTGTTATTGTGATGTGGATGATGGGGGTAATAGGGATCGACGGAAAGGAGGGTGGGTGGCGAGCCGCACTCCGAGGAGCTCGCCGGTTCCAGTGCACCGCCCGACGACGACGACGTGTTCGTATGGTGATGATGGTGGTGGTGGTGATGATGGTGGTGGTGATGAGGATGGTGATACGGCGCGAGGGTCTCTTGGCTCGACAGGAGCAACAGCCTCTGTCGCTTGGCCGTCCGCAAGGAATTCAACGAGGGCGACGGCGAGTCGCGTAGTTCCGGCTCGCTGGTAGTCGCCGGCGATGAGCAGCCGGAGGACTCGCACTCGCCACCTCTCTGATGGGAGTAGCACTCCTCAATGTCGACGGGGGTGGTGGCACCCTCCTCACCGACGACGACGGCTGCCTCGCCACCGGAACCGGCCACCGGCGAGGTAGTGTCCTCCTCCTCCTCGTTGGCGCCTGCCACTGTACCCGCACCGCCCCCGCCCTCCGATAGCTTCGTTGGTGGCGACTTCCTCTTTGAGGACATCCTCAGTCTGCAACACAAGCGTAACGGGAGACTGCTGAGTGTTTTTTTGTCTTTTTTGCTTTCTCTTTTTTTTATTTTTCCTGCATCGGCGTACACTCAATTGGGATGTGTGTCGTGGAGGAAGAGCGGGGGGGAGGAATATCAGCGTTGGAAATCTTCATATATTCTCTATATGCTTGATGATACGACGGCTCGTTTTTTTTCTTACCTATCGTCAAAAGATTACTTAAAATGTCACAGGACTCATTTACGTTGCGTTGATTACTGCGGTTTATCCAGTTTGCTGGCAGCAGTAGAAAGAGTAGTAGAGGGTATATACAATTTCAGTGGATCATCTAGTGGAGGATCGTACGGGCGAGCGACGGGACGACGTCGTTCCTTACGTCACCCGGTCGCCCCCGGCAGGCGCGACGTCTAAACTATCTGCCATCTGGCGCGGAGTTAATTTAGACACGGACTAGCCCAAGTTCGTCCATTCATTTCCGTCTACAAATTACCAAATCTAAATCCAAATCGCACGATCGACCGGCCGTCTGTTGGCTCGACGGCAGCGGCGTCTCGTCGCCGATGTCGGGGCACGCGGACAAGTGGAGGAACGTTAAGTTACGTAACTGTACGCGAGGCGCAATTATCGGACGGGAATTATTGTTGCGCTGTCGTGTCGCAACAATCTCTCTCCATTAATCGGAAGATATTCCATTAATCGACTGGCCGAGAACGCACGGGAGACGCAATAAAGACGAGAAGAAAGAGAGAAAGGGAAAAAGAAAGAAAACTACATTAGCCACGATTATCTTCTGCTGGCGAACGCGAGGGAGGTTGCGAGGTCACGAACAAACGTAGTTCGCGGTTTCGTTGATCAACATCTGACGAAAAGCGGGACGAGCTTTAACTGTATTTCCGGCGACACGCAGGTTTCGACGTTTCCCGTTTCCGAAAGTCATCTACTCGATAGAACAAATTAGCGACTTTAAATCACCGGTCTTCAAATTTTTCGAATTTTTAATTTTTTCCACTAACTAAAAAGAAGTGAAGACCGACTACAGTCATTATTTGCATTAGATGTTAAAATAGTAATTCTATATGTAATTTATTTTAAATATATTTTTACCTCAAATGTATGACTGTGCGTCTATTATTTTCGGACATGTAACACAATAAAACTGAAATAATATTATAATAATATTATAATAATAATAGTAATAATAATAATTCTCCTCTCCCATCAAATTTTCGAATATATACGGCATATGTAACGTTAAGCAAGTAAAAAAAAATGTGCATTAATCTGTATTAAAAAATCGAGCATTTTATCCAATAGTATGTCAATGATTTCTCTTATTAACGCGCCTGACCTACATTTTTGAGCTGCACGATTGATGTATAGAAGTAAGGTCCATTACACACACATATATGTGTCAAAGATAATGACTTTTAGACTTAAACGACTTTTCAACTGGAGGATGCGCGTTTTACACGTCGCTTTGCGTTCAAAATCGTCCCCTGTGATGTGTATAATTACAAGGGGAGATTTATTACTGCGCGTTTACGCAGACATTTCTTAGTCACATAATAGAGAACGATTTACGGTGCTGAGAGAATGCCGCGCGCATCTTCTCGGAACATGAAAGCAATGTATCATAAAGTTATGAAATATATAATGACATCGGCTGTCATCGGCCATTTCGCTTTAGGCACCACTAACTGTATCGCGGGGATAAAGATAATATTTATATAGTGCATCATTCGAGATGTATGCAATCCTCCCCCAAGATGTGTGTGTGTGCGCGCGTGCGTAAATTGATCGATTAATTCTTCAAGAGACAGATTAAATATAAACTGCATTTGCTAAATAAGACGTGCAACAATTCTGACAAAATATATATTTATTCGAAGATACATTTATATACCGAAATTATAAGAAATATTATAAGAAAGGAAGTATGTATTATATTGAGATAATAATGTATTCCTCAATAAAATTATAATATATTATTTTATATAATATATATTAGTTATATATTAAAAGAATAATAACATTAATATATAATAAATAAGAATTATTATAAAACGATATAATTAAAAAAGGAAGTATTATAAGATTTTCAATGGAATTGTTCCGAATAGCGGCCGCAAAGATTTTCGTTCCTGCGAGCCAATTTACGACAAAGATAATATTTGTGAAGATAAAGATAATATTTATATGCGAGATGCGTTGCGCAAGGACATCAGAAATCTGCGTGATTTCTTTCTACGATACATAGATCGAAAGACCGACTGAATCTTTGTGGAGGGCCAGATTATAATGTCAGTATTACAATATTCTATATAAATATTCTTAATTGACAACGCGTCTTCATAATTATTTATTATATGGGACCTGCCAAACATCTCATCATACAACACCGAGGAAAAAAGCGTCTATACAAAAATAATTTCAATAATTACAACATCAAAGGTAACAGTAATATTGTATTATCTACGAAAATAAGAAGCAATTTTTTTGGGAAAATAACAAAAGATCACATCATCCTTAGTCATCGCGCGCCGAATCGTTACACCAGAAGCGTGTTATCAAGAAGGTCAGGATTATAACATCGGCGTCTCTGCTCGTGCTCGATTATGCCGCAAGCCTATTATGCGAACCGCACGCAAGAAAAACAAAGTTTCGAATGGACAGTGGGGATGCTGATAATGTCGGCATGGACCACTGCTGTGTGTCGCGCGAACGTGTATTATAATTCGTTACAATGATGAACATTGTCTGCGCTGCACGCGCGCGCTTCCAGCGCATTTTTTTACACGCACAGGCTCGTGCGATACGCCCGCGAAGAAAGTATCGATGCGCATGCACGAATCGCGAGTCGTGGCTCCAGTCGGAGCTCGTCGAGGACCACGTGCTCCGTTTACTACGAGCGCATGTGTCGTGAACGTGATGCTTCGAACGTGACGCTACGACCGCTACGAGAGATACTAACCCCGAATCTACAATGGATTTTTAGCCTTAAGCCATAAAGAATGGACGAATCATAATCAATTATTCTCCTCGCATTCGACTGTAGTTGGTCAATTTCGTACGGGTTAAAGCTTAAAACACCTATTGTAGATCTGGACTAAGGGTGTCTGAGCAAAAGGATTGTCGTAATACTTACTTCTGTCTGTTCTACAATAGGATCGCAGGTCGTAAGCCGTAAGAAATTGGCCAATCACAGTTAAGTGTGAAAAAAATAATCGGCTATAAATAACAATAAATAAAGGGCAAGGTAAGAGTCAAACACATTTCTTAAAACTGTCACACAATTAAAAAGAATAAATTACAAATAAAGAGAATAGCAAAATTGAAAAAATATAATAAAATAAAAATTCAGTTTAAATACTAATAAATTACAAGTTTCGGCTGCCGGATTGAGCCCTCCTCAGACATTAACTTATTATAAAAATCGCTGTACAAAATTAATTATCGGAAATGTTCGCATGTTCAGTATAATCATAGTTCGGGTGGGTCTTGATGTAGAACTCGGCATTATTCACATACGATTGAACAGTCAAATGTGTTTGATATCTCTTGGAAAAAGTTCTAGTTGATAAAACAGATAAAAAGACTTCTAACGAAAAAATAAACACAACCAAATTAACATACCGGAATTCTAACAAGCAATTAAAACTCATCAAAAATCATATGTAAATTGTCCAAACAAGTGTGCCCATATAAATATGAGAACCCATTAAAATATGTAAAGTTTAGTGGAACGCAGATGTGTAAGACGGACATTGCGTATCGATTATAATGTACGCTCGCTGATACGGATCACCACGGATTGTCAGTATCGAAAAGTCAAACTTTATTTACAAAAGGTATATACGCGTATGCCTTGTAAAGACCTTCAGTGTCAATTTGTAAATTTAAACTATTCTTCTGCTTTTT